TTAGCTTGTTTTGTTTTTATCTTTTTGTTTTTGTTTTTATTTGTTTTTATCTAATTTATATTACGGCATTGTATACAATATAGATTTATACTATCATTTTTTGTGTAATGAATATTATTGCATATAAACACTAATATATATTTAACCTGCGCAGTTACTCTTCTGCATAGAAGGGCTGAAACAATGGTAACTGAGTACTTTTTTTACTGCCATACGAATGCTCCTATTTAGAATTTATACACAGAGGTGGTGACATCCTGTGGCTATCATCTGAACCGTTCTTTTTAGTTAACTCATGTAAGAAAGAGAGTCTGGGATGGGATTTGGCTCTCCTAGTTCTAGGGGAAGATGCAATTGGTTAAAGTTGCTGTTTATTTTGGTGCTACTGACGCAACTAATGGGCATCTGCTCTTTGTGGTCAATGGAGTGCTTCCTCCGATCTGAAAACAGATGCTACCATTTATTTGAGTGAATTATGCCCTAAAATGTGTTGATTAGGGGCAGTGGGCACCCAGCACTGTTGGAGGTGTGCTAGGGCCTCCAGCTGTGTCCCCAGGAGGCCACAGGTCTCCTGTAGGTCCTGCATCATACTTGACACCTCGGATGGATGTCTCGGACTCTGTACGTTACCTCACATCCTCACCAAGTACCTGTGTTTAGACAAGTGGACCGAGCCCTTCAACTCCACTGATGATGAATGGGAGCCTTGGAGTGACTAGGTCAGATATCAATCATTAAACGGTAACGGGGTACCAAAACAGACCAATCTCATCTCGGGTTTTAAAATAAAGGTGGAGCTTGAATCCGAGAGGACACGAAATCACAGAAGATGCTTTTGATAACAGTCTGTAGTCACATCATCCACAAAAAGGTTGCTATAGATTTAGTAAGCTTGTTGGGAGTTAATTTATGTACTGTTAGCAGGAAACCTAGGTCTGCATAAGAAGTAATAGGTTGCACAACAATATTTTAAGGAGATAATTTTAAGGATCCCTTAAAGATGGATAGAGCCACTACAGGATTCCTCATCTGACTGAAAACAAATTCATGATTTTATTTCATGGTTACATAGGCTCTGCCTGAAACATCCAGAGTGGCATTTTAGGAGCTGGAAGTTTATAGGTCTGTAGAGACACTCTGTAAAGCATAGAGCTTGCTCAGACCTTCACAAGACCCTAGAAACACCACTGTACAGTAAACCCAACGCTTGACCCCTGATAAAGAACCTACCTGTGAACAATGACTGCTGCACATCGCCTTGGGGCAGGAAAAATCACGACCATGAGTATAAATTAAGACTAAGCCAACCTCAACTGAAACAAAACCAGCTGAGAATAGAACAAGATCTTAGCATAAAGGGGATTTTCCCACTACTTCTCTGCTTCTCAGTGGAGGTCAGGTTTCCTAATTCCCCTTGGGAAGGGGACAAAAAGCTTCCAAAATGCATTCGTTTCCTTTCTGTTTTTTTTTTTTTTTTTTTCATGAGTATGAGTGAGAAGAGGGAAGTGTTGATTGAAACATGAATTTATCACTTGTACCTGTAGTGGCACCGATTGCTGTTGTTAGGATGGGGCAGCCAGTGGGATTTCCAGAGTACCTGGCATCTCAAGGGTTGCAGGGTGCAATCATTCCACTATATGAGAAGGACAGAGCTGTAGATAATTTTATTTGAGTAGATAATTATATTAAGTTTTAGTGATGGTGTCACTACTGAAAATATGCATCTTCCAGGGGCTATGGTGGAGGTAAATAGGCTTATGGTATTTATGGTATTAGGATTAGTGCCTGCTCCTTGCCTTTATACTGCCTCCAGTTCTGCTGATGACAGAAAGCAACGTCTCATCCAATATCCTGTGTGTGACAAATAGTTGAATAGGGCAGAGGAAACAAGTGCCTCAGGAGTTGTTTTTAGGACTTGGTCTTCACAGGTGCTGAGCTCTATTTTCAAGGCGCTGAGAGGCCTCTTCCTCACTCAATCCCTAGGAAGGCTATGGATATTCAGCCCTTCATGAGGATCACTGTGTGTGAGTGTTGCAATTATTGTGCAGTCTACCATCAAGAAAATCCTGAGTACATCAAACTATATGTCGTTACCCAGGGCTGCCCAGGCCCTGGCTCCTCCTGCCTTGTCAGTGGAGGAAGCAGCCATGTTGTCTAAGGCCGGAAAGTACTACAAGAGATCTGATTGCACTTGTTTTAAGTCACATATGGGATATTTTGTTTATTGCAGGTTTCAGAATGAAGTACACAGCTTCTTTAGGAGTCTGCGGAGTACTTCTGAGGTGTAACTTGGTGAAAGAGGAAGAACAAATTCACAGTTGCAGTACTGCCTTTGAAGTAAAGAACGCTTATACTGACATCTGCAAATTTCTAGGGAAAGTGATAAGGATCTGTAAATTGAGAAAAAAAGTTGAAAAGCGAATGCCTAGCATGAGATACCGGGAAGAGAATGAGATATATCTGGCATATCCTCCCAATTTTTTGTGTTGTTGCCTGCTCATAGCTTCACTTGTCTTCACGTGACCCATTTCCTAACCAATTTTTAACACATTTTTTAACACACTGCATTCTCCTTGCAACCTCTCTTGAGTTCTTTGGGGATAGTGACACTCAAGGTGCAAGAGGATCAATTTCAAACCTAGGGCTTGGCAGAGCTCAAGTTTTTATGGTCTTTCAGACTAACCTTGGTTTCTGAAGTTGTATGAATTCTCTGGGACCTGCGGAGCTCCCCAGCTGACACTACTTTGTCTTTCTCCTTTCCAATTTACTTTCCACCCTAGTTTTCATGGAGAGAAAGCCAGGCAAGCTGGCCAGTAAGGAAATAGATGTGATCTCGTGAGTTATGGGCTCTGGGTAACTGAGCTCAGGATCAAGACTGGGGACCATGTTGCAAAAATCTCTGCTTTGCAATATAGACATAAGCTCTGGTATCTATCTATGAAACAGAGATAAGAGTGAACCATCATGCAGAAGTTCACAAGGTTACCTGCATTCCAGACTGTGGGGCACTCTTCTCTGTGGTCACGAGGACCATTCACACACCTGAGACACTGTATATCTGGAATTCTTCACAAAGAGCAAATATATTACATCTAAACACCTTACTCAGGCTTAGCAAATAATTCTTTCCCTTTGCAACAAATCAGTACGGTCTACAGAGGAGTGTTGTTTTGTTGCCAATGGGCTACTGAGCTCACTGTAGAATAATGCAGCCCTAAAACAATAATATGAGAAATAGTCATTTGTATTGATCAACAATAATTGCTGTTAGCTCATAGATAGTGTGTCAAGGCAGGCTGTTCCAGGTAGGCTTTTTTAAAATCTCATTTCCTAATCTCACACAATCAACTATTGTGACTCAATTAACATAAGGATAACTCATCATATAACTGAAGTCTTAATTGTTCTAGTTTGCAATCACTTTGCGAATCGCTTATTTGATAGGTAAAAGATGGGAAATACTATGCAGGAATATAAGGGAAGGCTGAAATAAAGACCATAAGTAGAACTACAGATTACTACGTGTGTATGTATATATCACTATGTATTTACAGAGTCGAGGAATGGAGAGAGTGCAATAAATATGGCACTAATACAAATGTGTTAAAAATAAATGATGCCCTGAACAAGTGCAGCTAGAGAAAGTATCTGCTTAGACTGATTAAATTATTTGAACATCGGTCTGGCAAATGTGAGCTGATTTGATTCACATTTATGTTAAAACATTCTATCTCTCTGGCAGTGTCATGGGGGCTTCGGCTGGGAATAACTTACATTTACACTCTGTGTGAGGCCCCTTTTAAAAAGCCTTAGAATAAAGAAGAATCATAGTTGCCTGTGCTTAACTTCAAAGACACAGGGAAATTCAGCTTTACTCAAGACAATTTTTTGTATATCCTATGCCGACCAACTTTAAGAAAGGCAGCACCAGACCTCTGGTGAGGTCCCTTCTAATCATCCTTTCTTTCATTTGATGTAATGAAAGTTAATATCTTCAAATAATTGATTTCATGATTATTGTTAATTACCATTATGTAAAACACAAGAAAAGTCCTGCAATGTTATTGTAAGCATTTCTATTTCAGTTTAAAATGTTTCTGTTTCAAAACTTGTCAGAATACAATAATCTGCAATGCATCAGCATGCAGTAAATAAATTTTCTTCCCTGGCCTCTGACTCCACCAACATATTTCCTATGTGACACTGTGCTGTACTCTCTTGAACTGAGTTAAATATGAATTCCAGCAGGACTGGTAGTCTTCATCCTAGGTTCCCAGTTCCCTTCCATTTTCTAATGGAAAAGCCCCACTGTCAATGGGATTTTTCCCATACATGAAGTTAGATAGACAAGTATTGCCATTTCTTAGCATCTGTATTATGGTCTTACCTAGGAATTCAGATATGGAACAAAGCCTTTTTTGACAGGAGCTGCATAAAGAACAACAGTTACTTTCCTGACAAGAGCTAGAGAGGTCTCCATGCCTATCAAGACATGCTGGTCCCACCTGATTGCACACTCAGAACCACTGAAAATGGACTAGTGGACTAGCCACCTAGGGAGAACTTCCAAGAACTTCCAAGCATTGTTCCTCTCTCCCTTGCTTCTTTCTCTCTCTCTCTTTTTTTATTTTTTTTATTTTTTTTTCTTTTTCCTAAGCATTTCTGAGAACTGTACCTGGTGCCTGTCACTTCTTGTCTTGGAGCTTGAAGGGAACCCATTGATTTCCAGGTCAATTAAATTCTCCACTTCCTGAAAGAGAAAGAAGAGGAAAGAAAGAGGTGTTGCTGCTCTCTTACATTTCCATTTAGCACTTCATTTATTATTGATTGGCACTCAGTATTGTATTTACCTCCCCTTCCTGCAAATGGGGAGCAGAGACACAGTCCCCTCAGATCAAAATATTTCTTCTTCACCCATTCATTTTCTCCCTGTAGCCAAGTAGTTCCTTGTACTATAGCAAGATCATGACATGTACCATCATTTTAAGCTCATTCCTTCAGAAACATAGAGTGATATCTTATGGACTGAAATGCTCATAACATGAAAGAAGATTCTCATCAGGAGTTGTCCAATTATGATAACCACAGTATGAGAGATACTGAGATAACTCAAGTCAGTGAGTTCAGAAAATTTCCCCTGAAACCGGTACAAATTACCTCTAGTTTTAAGGTAATATAATAGAGAACAAAATTTTCCCTGTTGATAGAGAACCTAGGCTTTTCCAAGTGCAAAGTGTGACTTTTATTTCAGAGCAATATCCTATAAGTTTTTTAGCAATTCGATGTATGCCAATAAAGAAGTTCATTAGTTGCTCAACTTAAATGATAGCATATTCACAAATGTTTGCACAAACTCGATTTGTTTAAGCACATTGAGGTTTAACTGATATCGCATCTATGATTAGGCAGGAGCAGAGGCTTGCATTTTTTTCTTAGGAATTATAAATTGTGGATAACAATCTCACTGTGTCATGAAAAGTGCTGTTAGGAACAAAGAAAAAGAGAATATTCTTACTAATTCTTTTTGTTAACGTTGCACAGTGAGAGAAAGCTTCACATCAGCCCTGCTGGCTTCATAGAAATATTGCAATATACTACAAACTTCAATTTGAAAAAGAGCTGTATCATGTGGAAATGGGTGTGAACACAGAAATGTAAGCTCTGTTCAGGAGAGGGGATTAAATGTAGATCCATCTTTAAAGTCAGAACTATACTTCTTTGATTATAAAATTATACTAGATTATACCACCCCTCCAGTAATGAATGTGCAGTCAATAGGATCTTAATTCAGCATTAGAATCCATGTAGGCAAAAACCTTTTGCCAGCAAAAATTTGGCTGAAGTTTGTGGCATTCCTATACAGGAGAGCTCATTCACCAAGAAATTTAGATGCTGGGTTTCTATGTATTTCAAGGAAGCAGGATCCAAAATACATCTGAAGGTCTGAGCACAGAAATCCACTTGGATGTTTAGAGGTTAAAAGCCCCGGAACAAGCAAAGCTGAGTTAAAGTAGCAATCCCGTTTCCAAAAGGTCCTTGCCCATACTAGTCCCAGCTTTAATGTTAAAAAGTCATGCCACAAAAAACAAGTAAAAACATTTATCAGAATAATCCCAAGTTATACACAAAAGCAGAAGAGAAATGATGAGATATAAGCAGAACAATGAAGATTCTTTCTGCTTCTGCTTTCGCTGAAGCCAGTTACAGCTTCAATTTTGATTTCAGCAAGGAAGGTAGACCTAGACCCCATCTGGAAATACTCACATCTGGGATTCCATCAATAACAAGATCAAAACTTCCTACTTCAGAAATGAGGAAAAAACCCAGGAAGCAGATCAGATGCTTCATTTTCTTCCTGCTCATCTCCTGAGAACAGTCCGCATAGGTACTAGACACAGGATCTTTCCTTCTCTGAGACAAGTTCAAGGAAACGGTATGGGGTTATGTAGTATTTTGAACAAAGTTTTGAAATGCTGACTTTGTTTAGGCCCTGGGTAAATATTTGCCTTGCAACGCAAGTCAGAGCTGTGGTGCCTGAGCAAGGGTTATCCAAATACAGTGTCTTCACTAGCCTCTGCCCTTGATAACAACTCAGGCTTGGATAGGCTCAGTTCTTGCTTTTGTAGGTTCCCATGATGTTTGACTAATTTCCTGCTAGGCGCAGACCTTGGAGTACTCAAAACTTAGAAAGATCAAAGTAAGAAGTCACTCCCAGTCTGTTTGTTTATAATAAATGAGACGGTGACTGGTTCTCAGAGTGATGGAGGCAGCATTATTCTCCTTCTCCATGGACCCTCCTGTCCAACTACCTTACAGTGGTTGGCAAAGGTCTCTAGGCTGGATCCTGACCCACACAAACACCCTTTTTTTCCACTTTGGCTGGAAAAAACCCATAGATGGTAATGAGATTGCTCCAGTTTTTTTCAAAGAAGTCAGTCATAATGAGAACATCTGGTGATATTTTCAAAGGCATGTTGTAAGGCTCCCAGGTGCTTTTGAAGCTACATTGGCCTCTCTGCCTCTTTGTGTACTTTGATAAAGATAGCTGGTAAGGCAAGCAAGGAAAAGAAGTGATGAAATAAGTCCCTGGCAAAAGTATCTCTGATCAATTTGTATAAGTACCTAAGGGAGGAATGTAGGGAGGATGGGGCCAAACTCTTTTCAGTGGTGGCCAGTGATAGGGCAAGGGGTCATGGGTATAAATGGGAACACAGGAAGTTCCACCTCCATGTGAGGAAGAACTTCTTTCCTGTGAGGGTGACAGAGCCCTGGCACAGGCTGCCCAAAGAGGCTGTGGAGTCTCCTTCTCTGGAGATCTTCAAACCCACCTGGATGCCACCCTGTGCCATGTGCTCTGGGTGTCCCTGTTGGAGCAGGGGGTTGGACTAAAGGTCCCTTCCAGGCTCAACCATTCTATGATTCTGTGCTTCTGTGATTCTGTATCTGAAAACCCACTTCTATACATCTAGGAAAATGAGGAAATTTGAAGACATCTGAACAACCTCAAAGGGGAAGACTGAAAACTAAGTGGATCATGGGACGGAATGGCAGACAAGGCTATGTCACGTTGTTATGCTATGCTATGTTTTGTTATACGATGTTATGTTATCTCATCCTGTCTTATCTTAATCTCGTGTTATCTTATGGTATCTCATGTTATATTTGATGTCAATATTTCAGTCAAAGACTTCAGCAGCACCTATCTGCTTTTACACTTCATCCCTCAAGCAGATTATTGCTCAGGCTTTATCTCTGAGACCTGGAACTGCAACCAGAGGAACCCAAGCAGAGCAGCAAGTGACTTTTCTACTCAGCACCACTTGAGAGTTGTCAAAGGTGCTTAGAAAAGAATATAACACCTAGAGCAAATGTGTATGGCCTTTTCCAAGTAGCCCTCTAGTCTCCAGATATTTGAAGCTACAGTACATCTTGACCAGGACTGTTTTATATTATTTATTTAGTAGTCCTCAAATACTTTCCATTAAATTATCCAATTCCTCTGAAACACCTGGCTTGGAGGTATATGGGACCCTGAACCTGAAAGCTAGTCGCTAGTGCTCTTAAGAGATGCAGAAATTACTGTGGAACATACTTTTATTTAAACACTAATTTCCCAATGCTTTAATTCAATTCTTCTCCCCTAAACTGCAAGTGTGGGTTTTTTTTTTTTTTTTAAGATAAAAATAACAAGATCGGGAAATTAGTGTGACCACTAGATGGCGCGAACTGCTAAAATATACTGTGCAAAACAATACGAAAACCTGAAATTTCTTAACGTGGAAATGCAGATTGTATTAGGGAGGAACGCGTGCTGAGGATGCTCAGGCAGAGTGCTGAGCCTTAGCATTTGCTGTTGGGTTGGGAGAATTTCCCCAGAATTTCACGGGGAGGACACGATCCTGCTAAGATGCTTTGTGGTTTGTGTCACTTGCCTTGGTTCGTGACCGAGCTTCCGGAGAGTCCCCCAAGCCGAATCAGATGTCCCCATCATCAAAGCCCTTTGGCAAAGATTCTGGCATATTTTAGATTTTCCTGCCAAATCAGAGCAATACCGTATTTTGAAGTTCTGGGATGTTCTGCTGGGCTGTGGCACACACAACTAAGTGTGGCAGAGAGAACTGTAGCCACCTGGACTCCAGAGAAGATCTACCAGGAACACAGACACTTGCTACATGGCATCAGAACTAGGGACCATCAGGTCTCATGTTTCAGATGTTTCAGAAGAGATTGATTAAGTTAGGGCCTGAGAGAAAATATTTCATGTAATTTCCCCAATTGCAGCATAATTAATTTTATCCCTCTACATTTATCTATGTCTATGACTCTGTAACCTTTTGGGAATCTTGCCAGTTGCTCAATCAAATTTCTGACTGTGGCTCCTAATAAATTGTATGGTCTGTTAGCACTTTGGGTAGATTTAGTTACTAGTTCGGGGCCTTTTAGATGGGCCTTTTATGTAGATGACTTTATGTGGGCTGGCTGTTTGGTCTCCTGTTATAGTCAGTGAAGAGTTAAGGCTCTACTCAGCTGCCCACCCTCACATACCTACAGTCAGCTGAGATGTCCTAAGATACCCAAGACACATGATATGGGATATATGGAGAACTCATACCTCTCTGGACTGACAGGTCCAGACACTGCTGGAGGCAGGTAGACACTCAAGGATATCTCAAGTGACATTAGTTGTGTCTGTGGCCAGCTGAATCAAGCCCCTATACCGTTGTGATTTAGCTGACCAAAAAGTAGGGTGATCTGTGGGATCCAAAGCAGCATCAGATAGATCTCCTTCAAAAGACTGAACAGAACTAACCAGGGAAACTCCCCCAGAAAGCAGGGCTAATCAGGAAATAGGTCTACCTAGAAAAATAGAGATCTGGAAACCTTTAAGCTATGAATTCATACAGGCATGACATGGAGGTCATGGCCAAATGTTGCTCTGATGTGGTTCCGACAGCTTCCGCTGGATGTCTGAAAAGCACTTGCTCTTGAGCTAGAAAGTGCCAATTTAAACACTCATTAAAGTTGGTTTATTTAAAGTGGCATATTGGAAGTGAAGAAAACTAGTTCTACCTGCGAGCCTTGAGTAGGAAAACAAGTGTGAAAGAAGAGCTTTCAAGCTGCATGTGCTTGTTTGTTGGCACAGGGCAATTCCTTGACACAATACGATGTGTCCAGGTGAAACACATGTGAATGCTTAGCTGTTAGGTCAGACCTTTCTCAAATGTCTTTGCTCATGCAGGCTGCAAGCGTGCCAAGCAGTTTAATTTCATCACTCCCACCCAGAACAGCTGCTGATTTTGCCAAGTCAGCCAAAGTCAGCATTGAACATGTCTAATGTGAATTAAAGATAAGTAATTGCTTATCTGTCTCTAATGGCATCCCCAGAGCAGTGACTATCATGTTACACCTAAAATCAGGAGACCATATTCCAAGGAGGGAGAAGAGATGATAATGTGAATAATCAGGACCTCAGGCTTAATATTCACACACCAAACGTAAGTGCATCTGGAGCATGTTAAAACACACCTTGATCTTGCTTAGCTGAGTGCTGTGTCCTTATATACCCTTGCTGAGAGCATGAATAGAGCTGGCTGCTCCTCATCACTTTGAGCAGTGCTTTTCCTAGTGATTTCTTCATGGGGTGGGTGACCCCTTGCCTGTTCTAACCCCCTGTTTTGGTTTGCTGATGTTCCTTTCACCAGATGTGCTTAAGATCAGTTCTACAGCATTATCTTTGACTGTCTGTGCAATGTCTCCCTATTTTAATTTACCCTGGGATTCAGCTTCTCATGTATTCAGTGGGAAAAGTACCATGGCTGTGGAGACAAAATAAATGCTGATCTGGAGGTAGAGTGATAGTTGATGGATCAGGAGGTTTCTCTAAATGCTTCCTGACTCTTCACTGGTCATTTCAGACTAGCAAACATCTCTCCTTCATGTCCAGAACTTCCTATTACATTTACGGTCTGCAAGGAAGTTTTAACTCGCTTTTACAGGGGTGCCTCAGTTTCCCCTAGGTCTTACTAGGAGGAGCACTAGGAGAGTTATCCTACTGTATCATTTTAAATGCCTGTCTCTTTCCACACATAAGTCCCTTCCAAACTCAATCCTTCTGTGATAAGCCCATGCTGGAGAGCCACAAGACTCTAATTCTCTCTTCCCTTTGGCCTTTTGTTACTGAAACATGGACAGGATAGTAGACTTAGGAGCAGTCCGCTCTAATGTCAGGGAAGACACAGAGGACCATAGCCCTACTTCTCCCCCTGCTCCTGTGCCAAACTCTTTTATCTGAGCAAATGCTTGAGGGAGCTGAAATGGCACTGAGCCCAGCCAAAAACACAGCAAAATGTTGTTTTATTTTCCTTCCTTAAACCAGGTCTCAGCCTGAATCATTATTTTGAAGTCCTACTGGAACCTCAGCTGAGCCCATTCCTTGCCTCCTCTCAACACGATGAGGAGCTGAGGGTAATGCCTTGACCATCTCCCAGCAGAGATCTGCCCTGAAACGCATCTTTTTGGGGTGCTTCTCGGGCCTGCTAGAAGCACCTTTTTAGTCTTCAATTGCTAGATTTGAGGGCATAATGCTCCTAGGACAGATGCTCTGAGGGGATGGATGCTTTCAGTGCATGACGTCTGGGTGAACGTGTGTCTGTCCAGAAGAAGATGCTCCAGTGGCCCTGGGGAATGTTTACACCTCCCAGCAGGACTTGGAGAGAAAATCTGTGGAGTTGAGAAGCTAGTGCTAACATTAACAAAAGCCAAAGGGATGGCTTAGGCTGTGGTGGGTTGGAAACGAGGGGCATGGAAAGGCAGAGACACAAGGGGATGTGGCAGGGAGGTGCCCGGCCCAGTGCCAAGGCCAGGAGGGGAGCACAGGGAGCCCTGCCCTGCTCCTCCAGGAACCAGGCCCCAGGGGAAGCTTTTGATGGAAAAACAGGCCTCACCGGAGCAGGGAGGAGGAGGAG